CAGTAGAGTTTTTTTTTTAAAAAAACCAAATTGGTTGATGTATAAAAAATTAAAATAGTTTTTTAATAGAAAGGAGATATAATCTATTGTATAATTACTATTATATAATTTATTAAAAAGCTGAAAAATCTTTTGTGCATTTGTGTATATAACAAAAATGATTAAAAAAAAAAAATAAAACAACATTTTTATTGCTTATTAACTTTTAATGGATAGATGACTAATTAACTTTAAAAAAATTATCTTGTAAATGTTCAAAGCGTCCAAAAACTATTACATGTATTATATATAAAAAAAGAAATACAAAAGCACTTTCAAACTCTTGAAAACATAGTTTAGAATTATAGTTTAGATAATTTGTTGGAACCAGCTTAATTATCTATCTCTATAAAAAAATCTTTCAATATGGTAGTGTAATTGATTTAATGAACTTTATTTACAAAATTAGGACCAAAATCAATGAAAATTTATTAAATTCATGAGTTATAACTCTTGATTTGCTTCTTATTAATAAATTTTGAACGGGAGAGAGAACTTTTGAACGAGGTAGAGAACTTGAGCATGTTTTTTGTCTACAACTTATTTCGTTTGTTATTTGGTCAGTGAGCTAGTATGGGCCTGTGGGTTAGTATCGACCAGTGGGCTAGTATGGGCCAGTGGGTTTGTATGGGTTAGTGGTTTAGTATAAGTCTATTTAAATTTATCTACCAGTCGTAAGTAGTAAATGTTTTTTTAGTTTTTAAGAATTTTTTCAAACAAAAGTTGTTTATATTCTTTATATATTTTCTCATTTGAATATGATTTTATTTGTAGAAATTTAATATGTAGCATCTGTTTATCTTTGATGACTTTTAAGTTCCTTGATTACCCTAGGATTATTTATATTTTTGGGATTTTGTGTTATATTATTTACTCCGTAAATTATTAACAGATTTACTTAAACAGAACAGAAAGCGTTAGTTCATTTTTAGGTAGCAAGCTTACTCGTATAGCTGCAGCCATGTAACAACTATTTACAACTCAATAATTAAAAGGTTATAACTTTCTCTTTGACCATTTTTTCCATTATTTTACCATTTCAGTTTTAAAATTTTAGATTATTGAAAAAGTATACTGTAAAACAATGTGAATAAAAAAGGAAACAATTTAAGAAATACTTATTTAAGTCTTTAAAATACATGTATTTTAAACATTTATTAAGTCTATAAAATGCACGAATTCGATTTTTTAATTTGTTTATTCATAAATTAGAAATTTATATCAAATATTTAATACAATAAAAAACTTATCGATTTTTAATGAAGTAGTGTGACATCAGGCACTAATATGCTGGCAACTTAAAGGCATGCGCTGTGTCTGTTATTTGTTCTTTTCCATCAGTGTGATCTTTGAAGGCATTTACAACATAGGTTGCAATTGACATAAGTGCGTTCCATGCATTTACTACGCGGTTTGTATAGAAATGCTTCATCTCTTCGCAATTTTTGACTACTACCTTAGTTGATTGTCGTATGTGCTCTCGAAGGCAAAAATTCAATATTGACGGTGCATATACCTGTGGAACGGCAAGTTCTATTTTTTTAATACCGTGAACGATTTTAAATTGCTAAATCAAATCACCTTGATTTCTTCTTTCTTCAAGAGTTGTAAGTCTAAGGATACGGAGCCTCTCCTCATATGACTTATGCTTAATTTCTGTGATTGTTTTTGCTGCTCTTTGCTGAATACACTCTAACGTACATATATCTTGTTGTAGTTATGAAGACCATAAAAAATTTATAATTTTGCTTGAATTGCAAACTAGATTTAAGTTATGAGCTCCACAATGTAGATATATAGTAGGTATTTAGCTTTAGATTCAACTTGTTTAAGAAGAGACTTAACACCATTGTAAGCCCCCACATAACATTTGCTCAATCGTTAGCTTGTTCTCTTCATTTACTTAATGTTATACTATTCTTTTCAAGCAGATTTGATGTTTCTTTATATAACCTAAGAGCTTTGTGATTGCGTAATTTCGTTAAATCCAAAAAAACCTCCCTAATTTCGATTAACGTTGGTTCCTCGTTTTCATTTTTTATTATTTCTACATATGTAAATACTTGACTTAGTTGGTATTTTTTTGCTATGTCTTGCGTGGTATCCATGATAATTGTATAAAAAGGAGCATTGTCAATATTGTTGATTAATGTTGTTTTTAAACGTGTAGCGAGACAATGAACAATTTCATTCTGGATTTAATGGCTTAAATATTAAATAGTTCCATGGGGCATGTTCAAAATTTGTTTCATAACAGTGTCATATTTTGATAAAAGATGTATTTGTGTTAAAAAATTACCATTATATTCATCCTCAAATGATACGCGATGACCACGGAAAGCTAAAAAATTTTTAGAAAGTGCTAATGTTATATTAACAAGGAGCTTTAACACTTGCACCCAAAATTTTGATTCATATCCAATTTTCGCTTCTAAGCTTTTATCAATTGTTTCATTTTGCTTCCACTTATTATATATACAACATGATTGCATATGATGCTTACTTTTTTCGTGTCTTTTTAATTTTTTTGAAAAACCTTGCCATTTTCTAATTCCCCGTGCTTGCCAGTTATCATGGAGTTTTGAAAATAACCAACATAATTCGCAATATAATGCATCTAATTTAGGAGAATAACATAGCCACAACTCTCAACCGTACGATACTTTGTCGAAGTTTTATAAAACTTCAACAAAGACTCTTCGGAAAACTTACGATTGTTTTATGATGGTACTCGTTTAAAAGGTCCTCGTGGTCGACAGGAACCTTATAAAATAATAATTTTTTTCATATCATCTGTTAATATTTTGTTCTGAAAGTCTGCAATGACAGTGGAAAATAATCTATCTTTCTAAGACTTATTATTTGTATCTTTGGAGTCATCTTAAATATTATCTTTGATGTGGTTGCTTTCATTGTTTTTTTAACTGTTGTGATTCCAGGGCCGACGACAAGGGTTTCGCAGTGGAGGGGGGGGGGACAATAATCAATTATTAAAAAATGTCTTTTATTTCTAGAATTTTCTTAAAAAAAAAAAATGGGGGGGGGGGGGGAAAGAAGCAGGTGCATCCTGGCCCCACGGTATCAACGACCTTTCAGCCCTGGATTCATTTTCACCGCTCTACGTACTTTGATCATCCGATTTCTTTCCAATTGATTTAAGAAAATTTGTTAATTTGGGAATTTTAGCAACATATTCTTCTTGTCGTTTTAGCCTCCTTTTTTTCGCTGCACCACTGGTTTTGTTCAATGTCTTGTCCTTTTCTCGCTTAGAAAATAATAACGTGCAATAGTGCACAATATCTGGCTTTACTTTTCAAAACTTTGGAGTACCTTCCAGAATGACGGACGCTTTTTTTTGTTAAGGAAAAGATTAAAAAAAAAGCGGTTTTAAAAGTTTTTAAAGGTAAAAAAGAAAAAATAATGAATAAATTTAAATATCATATATATATATATATATATATATATATATATATATATATATATATACAGGGCCGCCAAGAGGAGGGGGGGCAATTGAAGTAGTTTGCCCCGGGCATCACAGTCTATGAGGCATCACATGCCTTAAAAAAAAAATTATTGAAATGATAAAAAATTAAGCTGATAACGTATTTTAAGATTAAGCAATTTTTGTGTATTAATTTCTTTCTCCTTTTAAACTTTGTTTGCATTTAAAATAGGATAATTATTACTTTACAAGGTTTTCATTATCCATTTGAACGCACGCGTTTTCATTGGCCTTTTGTTCGCATGATAGAATAAAAAGCGTTAAAAATTTTTTTTCTTATTTAACGTTGGTAAAAGCCTGACTTCTGATAGTTTAACTTATTTTTGCTTAAACCTTGCGTCCCTGTGGATACTTTTGTGCATATGTATGTTTTTGACTCGCCTGCATTTTGTTCCGACTATATTTTGACAAGAATTTTTTGAATATTTTGACTTATCTTCAGTGGATATTTTAATTGTAAGTACTGACTTTTTCTCTGCAATTAATAACACCAAAGTATTATAAAGTTTTTAATTTTTTAAATTTAAAAAGTTAAAATTCTTTATATCGTCATAAGTTTTAGCATGAATAATCAAAGACCTCCACGATTGAAACAGCTGTCTGGAGCTGCTGGGAGAAAAAGAGCGATAATTCGGAAAAAAAACGAAACCAAAAACAAACGAACGCTTTTAAATTGCGTTCGTTGGACAAAAATCGAAGATAAATGCAAGCAGGTAGTTAAACTATTTTTAAATCTTGTGACGTTCATGAAAAAATAATTAGAATAATTCTGTTTAATACTTCTTTATAGTTCAATGATATTGAGATCGTTTGGAGTACTCGTACTCGTTTGGAGTAAGGCTTACTCGTTTGGAGTAAGGCTTACTCGTTTGGAGTAACGTTTACTCGTTTGGAGTAAGCCTGTAGCATCACTCTTTTGTTTCCCTTGCTCCCTTTTCGGATCGCCTAACTTAACCAGACCCGGTGTTCAATCCAGTTTGTTGTCTTGGAATGGAGGTATACATGGAAATTGGAGAAAACTTTCAGATCGCGTTAAAAGTCATCAACAATGCGATTTTCACCGTAACTGTTATCTCCAATGGAAAACAGCTACGACTCACTTGAAAAGTCAAAAGTCCATTGAGCATCAGTTAGAAAAACAAAATGGAGACGAAACAAAGCGATGGAAAGTAATTTTACAATGCATTCTTGACGTCACAATTTTTCTAGCTTCAAGAAACTTAGCTTTTGGGGGTAAGAATATTGTTTTTAAATTTTACATTATATTTTGCATTATTTTATTTGTAATTTAAAAATCAAAATTGCAAGTTTTAATTGGATATAAATATGAATTACTATTTTGATTATTTTTTGTTTGTAATTAGGATCCAATCAAAAGTTGTTCAAAAATGGGAATGGAAACTTCCTTGGAGCGCTCGAATTAAATGCTCGCCACAACAAAACATTACAATATCATATGCATCTTATTGCTGACCACCAAGAAGAAGAAAAACGCATGCAAGCTCATTATTTATCTTGGAAATCACAAAATGAATTTATCAAGGAATGCGGCAAATTAGTGGTTCAAGAAGTTATTTGAGAAATCAAAAAATCAATATATTTCACCATCATCACGGACAGCACTCCCGATTCGTCCCACAGCAAGCAAATAACTTTTGTTTTTCGTTTTTTGCATTTCAATGATAATCAGCTGTGGGAGGTCAAAGAAAGATTCCTTAAGCTAGAAGAACTTAAAAAGAAGAAGGGATCTGATATAACAAAGTTGATATTGAATGTGTTGGAAGAGAATGAGCTCGACATAAAAAATTGTCGTGGTCAAGGCTACGACAACGGCGCTAATATGGCAGGTATTTACAATGGAGTTCAAGCTTTGATAAGACAGAATAATCTACAAGCAATTTTCATTCCTTGCTCTGCTCACAGTTTGAACTTATGTGCAGTACACGCTATTGAATCATCGGCTCCTGCAAAATCCTATTTTGGAAATATTCAAAAGCTATACAATCTGTTCAGCAGCAGCCCAGTTCGTTGGAAAATTCTTCAGGAGGAGACAGGCCAATCATTACATAAACTTTCTGTTACACGATGGAGTTCAAGGATTGAATCAGTTAAGCCACTAGCAAAAAAGCCAAGTGAGATCTTGAAATCATTACATAGTCTAAAAGAGTTAGACCTTCCAGGCGAAAGTAGTAATGAAGTGCATTATCTCATTAAATGGATGAATTCTTTTGAATTTGTTGTTTTCACTATTTTTTGGTTTAAATGTTTGATGGCAGTTAACAACGTGAGTCTTCTGCTTCAATCCACTCAACTCACTCTCGATAATGAAGTAAAGATTCTAAATGGCCTTTTGATGGATCTGGATTGAATCCGTCTGTCTTGGGACCTGATTTTGATAGAGGCAACAGAAGTTGCAAAGAACTTGAAATTTGATAAAATAATGTTTACTGTGAAGAGAACGCGAAAAAAGATCATCTCAGATGAAACTGCTGGTTACAACCACAAAGAAGCATCAAAAAACTTTGAGTGTAATGTCTTCAATGTTGCACTCGACAATCTGACTAGTCAAATGAGATCAAGATTTAAAGTAATAGAAGAAAAATGTAGCAAGTTTTCCTTCCTTTGGTCTTTACAGAAATCTCAAACAGACCAAGAACTAGGTTTAAAAGCTGAGAATCTGGCTAAACTTTACCCAGAAGACTTATGTAAAAACGAATTTTCTGATGAAGTTCGGCATTTTTTTTCCGTAAGAAGAAATATTCTAGCCAGCGAAAAGCCTGTCGAACTTCAAAATGAAGTTTATGCAAAGGGGCTGCATTCAATATTTCCGCAAGTGTATGTTTCTCTTAGAATCTTTCTAACATTGCCCGTTTCAACATCTGAAGGAGAAAGATCTTTCAGCAAGTTAGCTATCATCAAAGATTATCGTTCCACAATGGGCCAAGAGCGATTGTGCTACTTGATGATCCTTTCAATCGAATCAGATTTAGCCATTAACGTTAACTATGAAGAAGTTATTTCAAATTTTGCTGCTAAGAAGGCCAGGAAGATGTGTTTGTCAATTAAGAATTGATTTTATCATAGTTTGTTCTTGAAAACCAAAATTAAATGTGATTTTAGGTTTTTTATGAAAGTAAACTATATTAATTTATTTGCTATTTTAAGACCTGAAGTATGATAGGGCATCCATCAAACTTTTCGACCCGGGCATCACGAAAGCTCTGGGCGGGCCTGTATATATATATACATATATATATATATATATATATATATATATATATATATATATATATATATATATATATATATATATATATATATATATATATATATTTATATATATATATATATATATACATATATATATATATATATATATATATATATATATATATATATATATATATATATATATATTATATATATATATATATATATATATATATATATATATATACATATATAAGCTCTGGGCGGGCCTATATATATATATATATATATATATATATATATATATATATATATATATAATATATATATATATATATATATATATATATATATATATATATATATATATATATATATATATATATATATACAATATATATATATATATATATATATATATATATATATATATATATATATATATATATATATATATATATATATATATATATATATATATATATACATATATATATATATATAATATATATATATATATATATATATATATATATATATATATATATATATATATATATTTATATATATATATATATATGTATATATATATATATATATATATATATATATATATATATATATATATATATATATATATATATATATATATATATATATATATATATATATATGTATATATATATAGGCCCGCCCAGAGCTTATATATGTATGTATATATATATATATATATATATATATATATATATATATATATATATGTATATATATATATTTTTTTTTTTGTTTGTTCTTTATTACAATTTTTATGATACATATGTTACAAATAATATAAAAAAAGAAAAGTTAACAAGGAAAGATAACGTTAAGAAATAAAGTATGAAAATAAAAATAAAGAACGCGGATACTCAAAGAAGACTATAAAGGTCTCGTCACAGAGAAAGCGCTATTGAATGTTTTTTTCTTTTTTTTCTTTAATGGTTTTTCCTTTTGTTGCGGTGTTTACGCCTTGCATCAATCAAATTACTGTGTCTTCCGAACTGCTGACTCATGCGAATAATAATGTTCATAATTTTCTAAATAAATCTCTTGCGCGCACTGAATTTAACTTGTTGAAAATAATCACTGAAACTTATTAATTGCAACATATTATTCACTATATATCACTGTATATAATCAATGTAATCACATTTCCAGACTGAATTAAGTACATATGTAGCCTACATACATAGATTGTTAGGCGCATACATCCACTCTTTTTTATTTTCTTTTTCTTGTATGTATATATATATATATATATATATTAATATATATATACATATATATATATATATATATATATATATATATATATATATATATATATATATATATATATATATATATATATATATATATATATATATATATATATATTTAAACAATTTAATATGTATTCTACAAAAATAGTGCTCAATGTTCTTAAAAGAACAGAGCAATTACAAATTAGTAGAAAATCACTTAGCAAAATTCTTTCTCATTTAACAGTGTGTTTCATCAATAAAGACTCATCAGAAATGAATGCATTCATTCCTGGTGAGTCTATTGATGAAACACATTGTTAAATGAGAAAGAATTTTGCAAAGTGATTTTCTACTAATATATATATATATATATATATATATATATATATATATATATATATATATATATATATATATATATATATATATATATATATATATATATATATATATATATATATATATATATATATATAATTTTGCTAAATGATTTTCTACTAATTTATATATATATATATATATATATATATATATATATATATATATATATATATATATATATATATATATATATATATATTATAGTAAGAAAAAAAAAAAAAATCTATATGTATGCACAAAATTATGGATACATAAAAAAGCGAATGAATGAACACGTAATTATCAATATAAAAATTTTAAAACTTAGGTATTAAAAAACATTTTTATCAGTTTTTTTTTATTCGAATTTGATTCAATGATTTTTTGTAATTTATATATTTTTTGTAATATATATAATTTAAATATATATTTGTAATTACTGTTTTTGATCAGTTTGTTGTTGGTTTATATTTTATTTATTTCAGTTTTTGGTCAGACGTTCTTTTAATACAGGACTGAAATTTTTAAAATTGATAATAATTTTTAAACACTACTGTTCCTGATAAAAAATGGGCCCTCTTTAGCTCTGCCTCCCTCCCACCCGCATTGCAGGGTTTTGCGGTAGGATAGTTCCGCCACTGGTTTCTACACAAAGAGGTAGATGCAGCACCTGAGTTCTATATTAAATCACTTTGTGATGTACAACCAATAATAAAAAAAAAAAAATAAAGGACTAACTAGTAAGTCATGCCCTCAAGAGGTTTTGACAATTAAACGAGAAATGGCAGTATTTAAAAGCACTGGAAAAAGGCCAAACTTATTAGAAAAAGTATACAACGTCATGCTTAGCTTTCCACCATCTTCTGTTAGGGCTGGCGCGATGGGTGTGTGTGTGGGGAGGGGGGGAAGTTGATCCCCGCCCCCCATCAATGATTTTTTTGTTCATTTAGTCGGCAAATTTGATTCTTTTTAATTAGTTAGTCGGCAAATGGCCCTTTCGACAAGTTAGTCGGTAAACTTAGACAGTTAGTCGGCAAATGTCTTTAAGGCAGTCGACAAATTTTAAAAAAGAGAAGCTTAAATTTTTTTTAGTCAAAAGTTGTAATGACACCCCCTCCGCAGTGGGGGAAGGGGGGTGCCATTACCTATTTGCGCCGACACCTACTTGCGCCGGCCCTGCCTTCTGCAAAAGCAGAAAGAAGTTTTATTGTTGCATGTTAATTTATTATTAAGTTAAGAACTTGTTTAAATGATGACACTGTTAATAATTTATGTTTATTTAATTTAAGTCATTCACCGCGAACATTCACCGCGAACGGACGTGTTTTTTTTTTTATTACTAGTTATCAAAAAAATTTCAAAATGGCTACTAAAAATTTTACATCTGCACAATTGAAAGATATTTTGGAAATTCATGAAAATACTATTATGAAGGTGTTTAATGATAGAATTGAAAAGCTTGAAAACAAATTAAACTCAGTAATTGACGAGAATAAGGAACTAAAAAAGGAATTAGGCGAACATAATAAAGCTGTTGAATTTGTAAGTAATAATTATGATAAAATAGTTGCTGATCATCAAACATCAAAAACATCATTGATAAATGAATATGCAAATTCTAACATGATTAACAAATTGGCTGAACTTGAAGACATAAGTCGACGCAACAACTTAAGATTCTGTGGGATTGAAGAAGTTGAAAATGAAAGTTGGGAGGACAGTGAAAATAAAGTAAGAGAATTTTTAAATAATAAATTTCAGCTACACGGAAAATTTGAAATTGAAAGAGCACATCGAGTCGGAAAGAAACTACCTGAAAACAATAAAAAAAACAGATCGATCGTAGTCAGATTTCTTAACTACAAAGACAAAGCCACGATATTAAGAAAATACACGACGATGAAATTGTGGACTCAAAAGGTTTACATAAATGAAGATTATAGTGATCATACGATGGAATTGCGAAAAAAACTCCTGAATGAGGCAAAAGATTTAAGGGCAAGGGGTAAGTACGCTAAAGTTATATATAATAAATTAATCACACGGGATTTATAAAAGAAATTCTTTGATCTTATTTCGATTATGAAAAAACAAAAATAAAATGGATTCTAACGAAACCTTAAATTTTGAGTCTAGTTTTTATAATTTTTTTCAAACAAATGATTTCTTATTAGATGATGAATCTGATCCTGATCTTAATTATTTTTCTAATTCTGGTGCTTTGCAAAATAAATGCAACTACTTTTATACCCATGAAATTAAAGGATTTCTTGATCAAAATAATATTAACACAATTCACATTAATATCCGCAGTTTAAAAAAAAATTTTGAAATCTTTCGTAATTTTATTGAAGAAACTTGTAATCTATTTAATATAATTTGCTTAACAGAAACATGGTGCAGTTCGGATGACGTAAATTTTTTTACCAATTTTGAACTGCCGGGTTTTAATGTAATTTCATTAGCACGAAAAACAAATAAGCGTGGCGGAGGCGTTCTTATTTATGTTAAAAATAACTTACGATATTTTACCCGGCATGACATGAGCATCTCTGATGCTGATGAAGAGGTTTTAACGATTGAAATTTTAACCAATAAAATAAAAAATAAAATTCTTAGTTGTTGTTATCGCCCACCTTCAGGTGAAATTAAAAATTTTAATTCGTTTTTATGTAATAATGTTATTAAAAAAAGTAACCACGAATATAAATTTATCTACTTAGTGGGTGATCTGAATTAAGATTGTTTTTAATACCACGTCAATAATAACATTAAAAGGTTTTATAATGGCATTTTTGAAAATGGTGCGATTCCCTTGATTAGCAAACCGACAAGAATTACTCAATCAAGTGCCTCTTTAATTGATAATATTTTAACCACTGATGTTTTTAACGAATCCTTAAAAAAGGGCATAATTAAAAATGACATATCTGATCATTTTCCTATTTTCTTTTCTATAAATATAGATAATAAATTAGTTTCTAATGAAAAACGAGTTTTCAAAAAACGATTTTTTACAAATGAAAACCTTAATTCTTTTAAGGAACAATTATCTCTAATTGATTGGAGCATTATTAACACCTCTGATGATATAAACTTAGTTTATAACTCCTTTTTTAAATCTTTCTATGATATTTATGAAACTAATTTCCCTGAAGTTGATTTAAATCTCAAAGCTAAAAGTATTAAATCGCCTTGGATTACAAAGGGTTTGCGGAAG